TTTTTGGTTTTCGCCTTCGGCGGCAGCTTCGAAAACTTAAAAACCTCAGGACGCATGGGCCTGCAGGGTTTAGGGTTTAGCTGCAGGATTTGGTTCGTTAGCCACTTTTTGGTTTTGGCCTTCGGCGGCAGCTTCGAAAACTTGAAAATTACAGGACTGAATGTGCTTGCGTGGAGCTGAAACTTTTTGGGTTTGGGAGTTCAGGCTGAGTTTTCCAAAAGCTTGAAGCTCAGAACCCTACAACTCACCCTGACATGTAGAGGAAAGCGGGAGCTTCGCGCTTAAATCCCAAACATCTACAACTGCAGACTCTGAAGTTTGCAAAAACAATACTGAAACTTTACAACCTCAAACCGCTGAATCCTGCAATACTGTAGCTTGTCAGTATTCTTGCTTGCCAGCCGCCTACGCAAGCTTCAGCATGCTTGCATCAGGTAGCGACGGCATGATTCCGGCAATGCGATTAGCGGTGCATGCAGCGTGGTGCTGCAAACAGCATTGGAAAGTGGGTGCGCGGAGCAGCACAGTCTTGTGTTCAGCCTTCGTTCGTGGCCACCGGTTTCACTACTTCCACGGGTCGGCAGGCCGTTCTGTTTGACGCGAACAGCTCTGCATGTGTCATAGCTACATCAAACATGACTGGCTTAGCGGCTTGGCCGGCAAAGCATGGCCCAAAGTAGTGATTAAAGAACAAAAAAGCATTTTTCGCGCCTCGCTTGGGTTCTGCATGATGCAAATCCATTCGCGCCCTGGGTGTCTGCACGAATTTCTCTTTTTCCGGTATGCAAGGCCTCTCAGCTACCAGCTCAGCGCAGGCCAGCCTTCAGCCTTGGCCTTGCGGAAATAGCTTCGAAAGCTGGCCAGCTGGCCCGCTCGCGCATTTCTTGCCTCCAGCAGGCGGTCCCGCAAGGCGAGCGCGGCAGCCAGATCTTTGGTTTGGCGGCCCTTGATCTGCCGGTTGACCTCACGGAGGGGGATCCGATCACTCTTCCTGGATGCTGAGCCTCCTGCCTCGTTGTAGGCCGAAATTATGGCACAGAACATCAATGATTTTTGCTCTTCAGCAGCGACGAGCTCTGCTTCCGCGCAAGCCTGACCGTTCAAATCTGGCTCTTCTGCCTCTTACTCGACTTCGCCATGCCTTTGTGAAAGCTGCGTGGAATCTGTGGCTGTCCAGCTCGTGCGAAGTGGAGCTTAGCAGTTCACGGGTGCGCAACAATGCTGAGTGACGCTGAAGGACCTTAGCTTCGTGTCGTTCTAAGCATTGACCACCGGTAAGTGTACGCTCAGACAGGCTGCAAGCTCCAGGGAGGGATGTGGAACGAACATCAAGAACCTTGAAGGCAAAAGAAGCCGCCAAACACACGTCGGATTGGCAGCATGTTGTCGTAACAGAGTCAGATTGCTTCAAAAGGGTTTGCTATGCAATAAGCACACGCCAATCATGTCGAAGCCCACGAACTCCCCTAGCCTATCACATCTGCGTGAGAGGCTAGGAGCAATTTCAATGCTTCCCTCCGAAACAACATGCTGATTCCTCAATTGTTTGGAAAGCTAGGTTAGAGCGGAAGATCATTGCAGGCCAGCCACAGGTTGGGAAGGCTCATGCAGGCCTTGTATGTTGGGGGTGATGTGCTCTGGCGCAGAATCCCGCGGCTGATTCGTCTGATTCGCCCACCTGGACCGGTCATCATGTTATGCACATACTCTAAGCCTGCTCCTTGGCGCAGCCTTCAGCATCTCCACTTTCGTTGGCTAGTGCCAAGTCTGCGCAGCCAGACTTGGTTGGTGCATCATACTGGCAATGAGTCGTCGCTGCAGAGTACTTAGCTAGTGCTGAAGCTCAATGTATCATGCAAAAACCAGGAGGTGGCAACAATGACTACAGAGCTTTTGTAGCTAGCTGCTTGAACGTGCCACGATTTTCGAAGGTGCAGACGTGTACACAAACCAGCCAGTCTTCAATGTCTATTCAGAACCAAGCGATCTGGTAGGCAGCCGTCATGCAATGAATCCTCTGTCACTACTGATGCTGCATAGGCTGCTGATTTGTCGAGTCGCACCCCTGGGCGGATTGGGATGCATCTCGGGCTCCTGGCAAGGTTTTCTGTATGGTTTCTGAGCAATATTCTTGTTGGCACACAGCAGAAAGCTGAACGGGCAACTGACAGGAGATCTTATCAGCTGACGTCGTGGTGCCTGCTGCATGTAAGCGGCGAGCGCCTGCCGTACCTGGAATGCAGGTTCAATCCAACACGGCACAGGAGAAAGGATGCTGTGCTGTTGTTGACTGCCTCTGCTGGCAGCCCCTCCAATGCTTTTTGTCGAGCTTCGCGGCTTAGAGCTGCCAGAAGCTGCCGCAGCTGCGCCAAGGCACGGTTGCTACTGCGGCTGGCTGCCACCTTTTTTCCAATTGGCTTCACGCTGCGTCGTGTGAGGCATGCTGCACATGCTTCAAAGTCAAGCCTCGGAAGCCTTGCCCTGACCGCGCCCTGCTGGCACTGCTAAATGCTCAACAGTTGAAACGCGAAGCAATGCCTGCAGCAGCATCCAGCGCATCTTTCGGTAACAATCCCCGACCACGGGCAGCATCGTAGGCCTGGCGCGTGCTCCTGTGGCAAAGCATGATCCAACATGCAAGATTGCCCTTGACACATCTTGACACATCCCATGGCACCCTTCCAGGCCACCAAGCGTAGCACGGGAAAGTTGAAGGAGCTGGCACCCAAGATACTCGACTCTACTGCTATGGCAGTCTGCAGCGTTCCCTACTCTCCTGCAGGAGAGGACCTCGAAAGCATTCAGCACGGACTGAAACAGGTCCTGCGCCATAAAGCGCACGGCAAGGCAAAGATATTCAACTTGTGACAACAAGGTCAAAGAGTCAAATACAGCGTGTTGCATCACTTCAACGACTGTCCTCACTCCCACCCTTGTCGGGGTGGACCTGCAGAGCTCGCCGCCGATAGGCCGAACGCACCTCCGCCTCCGACGCATCCCTTCGGATGTCCAGAAGCTTGTACAGGTCCTCCCGAAACAGCCAACTTTTCGGGTAGCATGCCACCGACACTGCGACTGACTTCGATCCTGCTGCTCCATGACATGAAGTAGGGGTGCATCCAACCAAGCTAGGCAGGACGGACACAAGAAATACAGGCTGAGTTCTCCAGCATTTATTAGAAATCTGCACATTCTGCACTACAGCTGATGTCTGTTGGCAGTAAGGGAAAATTTCGTCATGGCAGGCGCAGATTGCGGGAGTTCATCACGCAAGCTCTTTCACAATGAGCATTGCAAGCTTCACGGCGGCATTTTGCTCGTCGGCGGCGTGAGGCGCTGTATGCGGTGTAGCTCAGCTGCCCTGTGACGCTTGAGCATTGCTTTGAGCAAGGCTCAGCAATAAATTACCTTGAACCATTGCTTCACAAGTGGCTCGGGCAAACCAGAATTTAAACTTCTGCCTGGCAGAAGTGCATGAACAGGCTATCCGCATATCTGGTCCAGTTTTAGGGTGTTGGGTCAACCGACTTGCTGGCATTTGCTGGCCTGGTTCTCTGCATAGCCAAGGTGGAGCCCAAGGTTTGGCTCGATCTGCTCGCCGCCCAGCCGAGGCCTTGCATACTCCTTGCACCCACTGCAGCTCCTTGGACGGAAAAGTCAGTCAGCTATCACGAGCACCTTGACGCGGCTGGCTGGCTCAAAGACAGACGCAGAGTAACCTCAATCCAGGGCTGAAGCGCTTACGACTCTGACGTTCCCCGCCTCCAGCCCTCATGCTTAACCCTGGCATTTGTTGAACGACAAACTCTCCAGAGGTTAAGTGGCTAACATCCATCAAGCAAGAAACTCCAACGGTGCTCGTCCCAGGATGCAGGGATGGGCAAATCGCCAACCTTGCAAACGGAGCTGCGAAGCCCTCGACCTGCGCAACGTCTCTCCTTGTGCTTCCTGTGCCCAACGTACCTGCGCAGCAGCTACGGACATCGCACACCATCACATAGTCACATGGCTAAATCGTGCAGTGCGCACCACCTTCCGTCATCGCATTGATATAGCCATGCGTCAGTGTCTGCTTTCCAGAAAGTGGGAGGCCTGCTTGCTTCTCATTGCGCTGGTCTCATGTTTGTGCACTCTCTTTAATGACAAAACCGACTATGGAATACTATAGAAATAAAGAGGCTATCAGCTAGCTTCCTCTTTGAGCTGCAAGCCTCGTAGGGTATGAGCATTGCAGCTGAAGAGAATATATCCCATTCCATTTGTCTGCTGCAGCATCATTCACTTGCACAGCAGCTGGCACCATAGCATCTTTGCGGAGGCTGAGCTCAGGCCCAGGGATTTGAGATACAAGGCACTTCTTTGATCTCATGTAGCCGCCATAAACAGGCACCTGCTCTTCCCAAACATCGACATCTCCAGGCAAGGTTCCCGCTGGACATTTGCAGCTTCGAATTGGCCCACACGACTCCCAAAGGCTCATGTTATCCACGTCCCCACCGGCATACCATCGGCCATCGCTTGCAAAGTATAGCCATCGCTGCGACGCCCGATGCTTGAACACCGGAGACCCATCGGACTCCCTCCTGTGACACCGTAAGCGATGCAAGCATCTGTTTCGACTCATCATGAGAATCACATACAGACTCTTCACTTCCGAAAGCCGTAACTGAGAATTACCTCGCTCATAGTTAGATACTCCTAGTGCTGTCCGTTTTAAAGGAGTCCTGGCAGGTTCATCCCACAAGCACTTTCAACTTGCAACGTAGGAGGTTGGCTTGGGAGAAGCGAGCACGTTGCCTGAAAAACAAGAAGGCAGAAAACGTAGGAGGCTCTACTGAAACAAACGTTGTTCGTTCGAGTCCTTGCAGGCTGAAGCTCATAGCAACCGTTTGCAGCCACACATCTTGCGCCAGTCATCTCGACAGCGGCGGATACGGACCAGACGTCTTGGCACCACGACCAGTCATCAGTGGCCACACGGACCAATCTGGCATGCACCAAGTTCATGGTTGTATTCCTCTCTACATTGGGCCCTCTAAATGGCATGCACCCCAACGCGCCTGATGGCTGATGGATTGAACAGGGACTTCACTCCACGTGCCCATCTATCTCGAAATTCCCAGCCAAGCACATCAACTGGAAGCGTACCAACTTCACAGCTCTCACAGCTGCGAAGTTGGTGGCCAGGTAAACATTTCTCGGCCACTCGACCGACTCCAAAGTGCCATCGACCATCGCATGCATAGTAAAGCCACTCATCCCCCCCTCTCTGACGATACTTTGGTGCCTCTGAATCCAACACAGTATCGAGGTCATAGATACCATTTATCTCCTGAGCATCTATACTGGGAAGCTTCGTGGAGGACTGGGGCTAAGTGAACGTGACACTTTCCTCAAAAGAGCAGCCTGCGTTGGTTGCGGCATCTGCCAAACTACAGCCGTAGGACACATCGTGCAATGACAAAACATGAGGCCGCTAGGCGGGTTGCAATTAGTGCTGATCGGCCGCTGTCATTTCACAATTCACGATCTGGATTGCATGGCACGCGCGCAATGGATCTGCAGCTTTCCACGCAGCCTGGCAATCCTGCCAGAACTCGCATCCTTACATCTTCTTCCGGCAGCGTGGTGTCCGTATTCGTCAAATCATCCTGGTGAAGCCAGGGCACGTACTTTTACCGAGGATGGCTGGAAGCCAAAGAAGCGCCCAAAGAGTAAAGTGCGTTCTTCCCAGGCCCCGTCTGGAGGGCTACATTCACCACAGGTCGAGCCTCGAGTGAACAAAATCACCGACAGGCATGACGAAGCAGCTGCGAGAGCTGAATACAATCCAAAGCACTTCGGAGGGCAGTGGTAAGTCGTCCCATGTTCATGCTGAAGGCACTTCCAGAGTGCCATCGATCATCACTGGCATAGTACAACCTGGGGTGTGTGGGAGGCTGATAGGCTTCTGAAACGAGATGCTAGCGAAGGCCGACTGGGAGCTCGGCCAGCGAGCAGCGTTGGCAGCTCGATCCTTGAAGATACCGATGGCCCCAGGCTCCTCAGCAGAGCAGGCAAATCCTCCATCGATTCTTGCCCAAGATCACAAATCCAAAGGCTCCGCCAAGATTCGCATCTGAAGGTACGATTCAGACTTGCCAGCTGGCTTCCAGTAATCTCGACTAATGAAACGTCTTCCAGGTGTTTGGCCATGGCATATCTGTCAAAGTGCTGAGCCCTACAGCCGATAGCCGAGCAGGTCAAGCAACGCGAGACTTGCAGCACAACGTGCTCACGTACTCCCTTCGGTCTGAATACTCTGCCTCCCAGGACTCGAGCACGCCATTTTCTGCAGCTACTGGTGATGGTTTCGAATGGCTCATTCGTCAGCCTGGCCGCCTGTGAATGGGAATCAAGCTCCGAGTTAAAAAAAGGCATTGCAAGGAGTCGTTAGCCGGCGAACCCAAAAAAGCAGCTTTTTGCGGTGCCGACATCCTTATTCGCGTTTGGTCCAGTATGTCCAGTTGTTGGCGAGCGCTGGGAGCAGAATTGTAACAAATTCATCCCAAAGGCGCTTCGTGCGCCTGCAGCCGATTCCACTGAAGCTTTTCTGGCCCCCGTCTGGGGTCTGCGCTTCTTCCTGGCAATGACAGCGACCAGCTGCAACAGCCACTGCACTATGCCAACATGCTTCTCACAGCCAAGCTAGCAGGCTTGACCGCAGAGTTCCTGAAGGGCAGCAGTCTGCACAGAGTCTCGTGTGATGAAGCTTTCGGACTCCAGGCAAGACCGCAGTCTTGAGGAGGCTTTTGATTAGGCTGATTCATGAAAATGAGAGTGCAAGGCTGATACAGATCATTTAATCGGGCCGGATAACAAGGCAGGAAAGACAAATGACGCGCAAAACAATATGGGACACGGCGCAAGCAAGAATCCAAAATGAAGTAAACAGTCACATGTTCCCTTCCGAAAGATGCGGCGAGGTCACCTTTGATCACCGAGCGTGGCTTCTTCTCAAGCTCAGTGGCCCTCTTCTTGAGGCCCTGAATGCGCTCCGATTCCGCTGACCACTGACCAAGAATCGAAGCACGCTCTGCCTTGAGCCTGGCTCCAATGACCTGGCCGGGACCCGCAGACCTGAGGCCTTCGATCAGATTGCAACAGTTGAGGCATTCTTCTTCACAAGCTTCAGAGTAGGGTCTGCGCTGATCTCACGTCTCTCGTTCATGGGCACACTGCCTGGGCCACTCCAAGTTTGCTTACGCCGCGTCGCAGCACCGAGGCCCGAGCCAAGCTTCTTCCGAAGCCCTTCGAGGTGGGCCTGTAGCTCCTGAGACTGGGTCGACTCAGCTATGCAGCTCAACAACACCACCTCGTCACATCGTCACCTCCTCGTATGCGGCCAGCTCATGCAGCGTTGGCTTCTCAAAGCCATTCCCTGTCCCGGCCGCTTGTCCTCAACCAGCGGCAATGGCGGCGCCAAACGCACCACAACTGAACTGAGGCAAAGGCTGGACGTGGCCTTCTGATAGAGCTTGCTACTTCGCATGTAAGCCTCGCTTACCCAAAACAAGGATTAGCACTTTGCAACAGAGCCAACAAGCAACACACAGACATATCGTGTGTGCTAACAACTTCAAAATCTGAGCAGCAAATTGCCCGCGCGGCATGGGTGGCTACAATTGAGAAGAGGCATGCCGCCACACATGCTGCTGGGCAAAGTGGCCGTCACCAGCTGGGAGCCCTGCTTCTCCAGATCGGCGTAACCGAACATCACGGAACCAGCCTTTGCCTCGTGTGAGTGGGGATAAGCGGCGGTCAGCTTCAATGAGATTTGTGCGTTGGCACACGTTCGAAAATGGCTGGGAGGCCTGAGGCTTGAATACGGGAGGAACTTGCGCCTACATACTGAGCCTTCGGTTGGCTCCGCCACACGGCGCAGCCACAGGTGGAGGACAACGACCAAAAGCTCTTGATGCTGGCAATGTGCAGTCGCAGGTGAGTGACCACGGAAAATCTTTCCTGCAGTGCTAATATCTGAGGCTCTGACGCCTCAACAGCTGCGTTGTGGCAGACTGACAACGACTACAACACTACCGTGGGTGGGTCAGAGAAATGCATTGAGCTTGTACCTCCAGCAACTCAAGCGCCAGCGTAGCTCCATCGTAGCTTACCTGCAGCAGTGAAGGTGGATGAAGATGGACGGGTCTGGCACCAGAGCAGTCCACTGCCTTCTGAACAGGCGGCGGCGATGGAGCAGGTGCAGATTTTGCAGCTGCAATCGGGGCACTTTTGGCTTTGGATTTTGCTTTGCGGGTTGGCCTCGCATGTGCCAAATGGTTACGTCTACTTTTGTCTTGAGCGCTGAGGCCCGTACTTGGACTCTGGCTTCCGGGCTAGAGCCGATCTGAAGCACTGTCCATCTTCCGCTGTGAACAACGCCCAGCAAACACAAGCCCTTGGGTTGCGAGCCGCTTGCTGGGCACCAGCAAGACCTCTCACGCAGATTGCACTTTGCTTTGCACGTTGCTTTGCACGCCGCTACCTCGTTAATCTCCGCAGAAGAAGCATCTGGTCTCAGAAGCAACAGCACGCTTTTCTGAGTTCAGCTCATAAGCGCGCTGCAACATATGCCATGCTGGAGTTTGCAGTTTTCCTCGAGCCTGCTTAAATATCACGAAAAATTGGAACATCCACGTTCCCTCGAGATCTGTCTAATTACTCTTGAGAGATGTTGCCTTGTTTGCTCTGCACATAAGCTCGGCCCAAAGCCTCCTTCGGCAGTGATATCGAATAGATGAGGTAATGCAAAGGATGGGCGCTGTGATGGCTCCTTCCTTCACAAGCCATCGCTGCAGGTGTTGGATGCGACGCCAAATGGCACGGTGGTGACATGATGAGTGTACATCATTCCTAGGCGTGCCCTGCAACAGTGAACACCAAATTCAGAGTTGAGATGGTGCGGCTTTATTTGATGCAAGCCTGTGGCAAGCCTTGCACAAAACACGATAAATGTTGAAGCTGGCATGAGATGGTCACGCTTTAAGCTTCGAACGGTCCTTCTGCTTGAGGGATCCGCTTTCTCTTTTTGGGCATGCCCTGGGACTGCGCATGTGGGCAGCTTACCTCTTCAACGTGCCAGCCAATAGATGTTCTGAGGAGCTGGCGATGGGCTTTTGGCAGCTGAAAGGCCCGTGCCATCACAGAGCCAAAGGAGATGCGGTATGTCTTCCCTTCTTCCAAATCAGATGGATCCAAGGCAAGACTGACGGGTATGGCCAAGCGTCTCGACATCGCCTGCATTTTTTTCAAGGCTCATCATCTTAAACTTGGCATGAAGCCCGTCTCAATTTCTGAGTATGTGCCTGGCCCAACATGCTGCAAATAGGTCAGGGCAATCCGTTTCGCAAAACGTTCGTACAAGATGTTCACATGAATACGTTTCCACGATTCGATTTGCAAGGCCAAGGTTTTCTCATGAGCACTATGAGGCTCGTGCAACAAGCATATGCTTTGCTTGACGCTGAAACCAAAGACCACGCAACAAATTAGAGTGGAGACAGCACGTCAAAGAAAGCAACCGCAGCTGAGATTATCAGGAGCAATTACCAAGAAAATGGTTTTTGCCTTTTGATGGCCATCAGCTACACGAAAGGGATGCAATCTTGGTAACACTCTTCTTCTGACATTATGCGGATGAACAACATTTTCTGGATGGAGTGCCATGTGCAGCCTTGCATACATAAATGTGTATGCATCTCTGAAGGTTTCAATGAACCAGCCATTTCGGGGCCTACTGACTCTTCTTATGCGCACAAGTCGGGTTGAAGCTCATCAGCAGATAGTAAGACTTGGTCTATGAAGCGGATCCGCCAGGGCAGACCTCAGGATATGTCAAAAAATGTCTCATCTTGATCCTCTTCCATGACCCGAAGTTTTTGAACTTACTCTAATGATCTCGTTCGATGTCTTCATGTATTTTGACGGTGGTCTCCTCTTCGTCCACAAGAGTCGTTGATGGCCTTCCAAGGATCTTGCGAAGCATTTTGCTTTGGAAGCCGTTACCTAAGATCTGCTGCGAACTATCAAGTTGAAGACTTGGATTTTTCCGTTTAGAAGATATGTTTGCTGTGTTCCAGAAGGGCCGCATATGTTTGCGAGTCCCGATGCCGTCGCCAAGTCTATTTGCAACTTCCGCTTTGTCATTTGAAAGTGTCTGACAGTGATGTTCTTAGATATGTAGCTGTCTTGGGCAAGGGCTGATCTACGCGCGCCTGGCCATCAATTGCAAATCTGACTGAACGTTGTCTCTTGCCTCGCTTCAGGCCACTGAATGCTGAATGACTTCAATTGCCTGCTTGAGACTCTTGATGCACTGAGCACTGGCATCGAAGATGAGAGTGTCATTACTTGCATGTAGGAGCTCCAAGCGTGGACTCTATATATGTATATGTGTGTATATATATATGGTACCCCCCCCCCCAGGAACCTGGGTTTGCATGGAAATAATGGCCAGCGCAGTAGAAACTAATCTTTTT